TGACGCATTTTCGTCCCATCGTTTGCAATTTTGAGACGCTCATGGCACCAGTTGCATCTTTGTTGTTTTATCGTGCATTTCAATTTTGATACGCCCGGTACAGTAGGTGCGTATACACCGTCGCTGCATTTTCTGTCGTCTCGGTCTTGAGATATCCGCGCCACTATCGATCTTGGTACACACAGCACACTTGCGCCCTTGCTGAATTATCATCATGTCGTTTTTTTTTTCTCGAACCAGAAACACATTCAGTACCGTATGCGGCGTCGCTACGTAACAACAGGCCGTTCCCACCTTCAACACTTTATACGGAAGCATTGACAACACTGTTGCGTTCTCCTTAGGTCCTTCCAACTTAGATGCGTTTCGAGGTACTCATATCAGCAGTCTGCACCATTGTTGAATGGTTTTCGCGTCAGTTCGACTTTGAAGCGCTCATTGTGTTCCATGCATTATTGGTAGCAGCAGATGTTCCCTTTTGATGCAGGCAAGCCGCTAGGATTGGTCTTTTCGCGCCGGTCGACTCTAAATCCCAGAGTGAACTTACGGTTCTCTGGTAAATTAAAAACAGCAAAGGTGCCATCTAAAAGCAGCAAAGGTGCCGTCTGACCGAGAAGAGGCATTCACGGTTTCCGCGCTTAGATCTGTGCATAGCATCGGTGCGTGGACAAGAAAAGAGGGAGTGAATAGAGAAATGGGATTGAGAGGTCTTGAGAAAAGAGAAATTGAGAGGTCAGGGAGTCTGGAACCCTCCTTGATGTATAAGTGGTATCCACTACAGAGGTATCTAGAGAGAGATATACGTTTGCATGAGATTCAGATACGGAAGGAGATAAGTAGTCGAAGAAAAGATAGGTATATGCGCACGACAGAAGTAGCGAGACAAGTCGCTGTCTCATGGGACGAAATTTTCAAAGCCATCAGAGCATTGTATAGTTTTTCATTGCTACTATAAGGGCTCAGCAAAGGCGTTCCTGCCTCCATACCGAGTTGCAATTCTGTGACTGTACTCCGTCAAGCCAGGAATGTCATTTTTGTGACATTTTACGAGACTGTTGCCAAATATCAGTGGAGAGACTGAGATGAGCACACCAGGGCGACTAGTGAACACGGAATTCTACGCCACGGTCACACAGGTGTGCGATTTATTCCATCGGTCGTTTAATTACCTGTCAAGGGACCAGTGCGCGTCATAGGATCTGACAAGTACCGCCCTGCTCAACCATACTTATTGTTAATTATGGTTACCATTGCACCAACGAGAATACTTATTTCAGATCACTTCCAGTCACCCATACCAGTTCGCCCGAGGCTTCCGATTTACCAAGATCTAATCAGGAACCGTAGGGCCCCAGCTCTCGTCTTAACAGTCCAGTGAAATCCAGGCATTATCGGAACGGACATGGTCCGTATCTAAACAGGCAATTCAGAAAGACGCTCGATCACGGTGGAACCCGGACGTGAGCCGTAATACGCATATAACCATACAATGCTCTCAAAAATTGGGAAAGGGGAGGCAGACCGCAGAGATAAGAGATACGAGATAAGAGGAAGAAGATGATGCTAAGAGATAAGCGAAGACAAGGAGACACCGTAGTTTGAAACATGTGTAATAGTGACGGAAAGCTGAGATGATGAGAGTACGATGAAGATAAAGAGATAAGAGGAGTAGAAGTGCAACTGACGAGTTGCTGTCAATTATTGGGATGTGCGGTTCCCGCCCCAGGAACCCCGCACATTGCGTAAGGCATAACGCGATCGTTAGGGAGAGACTGCAGCTCGAACTCTCGATTACCCAATTATTGACACGTCATCGGACTTAGGGGGAACCGATGACGGGTTTCTGGTGGCGCATTTCGGAAATTATGCCGAAACCCTGGCCCGACACACAATGCCGATGTCATGATACAGAGCGAACAGGATAAGTTCATTTACCGGCTTTTGTACAGAGGATTAGCGCGACAAGCGCGCGTAGCCTTAGTCAGGTGCGTGAGATCACTGCAGATCCGGGTTCACGAAGGACCGGTCCTGCAGAGGTTTCCGCGCGGTTCCCATACGCTCCTGACGTCCGGTTCCCACACGCTCGCCGCATGACGCCGTTATATGGTCGTGCTGTGCGTGCCAAACCGGGTATATAAAGCGTGTATGAACTGAGAAAGGGACACTGTGCTCGAGACCAGCTTTACGGACCCTGGTACTCCGAACCTTCAGGTGAGTCGGCAATGGCCGGCCGACCGCACACACTCTCATTTCCACTCTTCGCACCCACAGCTGCCCTTCAGACCCAGGTTCACACTTGACATGGCTCCACTACACCACTGTTCGTCCTCATGGCATCGGCACGTTTCGGTATAATTGTTCGTGTTCGTCATCATGGCATCGGCTCGTTCGATGTAACTGTAATCAGTCACCTGTTAGGTTCGGAGGTGTTTCTGGCGTGATTATCTTTACTCGCAGTTCCTGGTAGATCGGTCGGAGGTGCTTGCTGGCGGCCTGAGTCCGCACCGTTTACTGCTTTGCCACTGCTATCCCATTTGTAGTTTAGTAAATACATTAGGTGACGGGAAACGATTCTTTACCAAAAGGTCGGGACAACGAAAAGGGGGATACGTCAGAGGGGACACGTCAGAGGGAAAGAAAGGGAACAGGGAACACTGAGACACACCAACAACTCGTCCGCAACACACGCCACTCAATGTACACGAAGACTTCAACCGCAACGCCTTCTGACGTTCGACCCGGCCTGGGGCGAACTGAAAAACGGAAATCACAATACCAGATCAAATACGTTACTGCGTGACACTGAGAACCTCACCAAAAACAATCCATCCTTTCTCAGAAAACATGATAAGCACAATATACATTATACATCCTTGTATTCGTAACACTCAAATCCACTAAAGCAAATATAAAACAAAGCTGCACTCTTATGGAGACCTCGAAGGTGGTTTCGAGTTTCGACCCTGGATAGCTCGACCTCGACGCCTGTTCCCGCCACTCCTTCCATGTCCCGAGTCCGTTTGAACGTCGGACAGCCGCTGATTGCGGACGGGCCGACTCCACTCTCCGGCCGAGCCCGGGGGGCAGTCGGCGGGAAGCAGCCAGGTGCTCCTGTCTGCCCGTGCTGGTCAAGTGTTTTGACCGTTTCGTCCATGGCTATCCATGATCAACTCTCCGTTATACCTTGTATACTCACTTGAGATGGAGTTTGGGAAACGGGACCATTTATCATGACAGTTCTTCGTGCGATATGATAACATCGTGTAAGGCAATTGTTACTGTTAATTAGACCTTAAAATACGTTCAACGGCATGCTATCTATACTGCAGTTGATGCCGATGAGTCGCTGCTGCCATTCTGCCCATTCCTATTAGTGGAGGCTTGCTCATTTGCTATGATAATAAGCGCTCCCTTTAATCATTTTAATTCTTCCAAATGCCATCCCTTGTAAAGGCTTGCACAATTGACATACAGGGTGTCCGGAAATTGATTGCACACTGTCCATATTCACGTATCTTGCAGGTGCTCCCGCCAAACCGCTTAGGGAGGTTTGCGACCCCGCCCCCGGGCACCCCAGCGTGTCAGGTGATCACGTGACCCAGCAGGTGACCTGACCCCAGCGGCAGTGAGTGGCCACAGGTCGCTTTCCGAGAGGCAGTCTTCGCGCGCGGGCCCCATATCGGGAATGGCGAGGGAGCACACTTTGGGGACGCGCTACCGCGCGGTTGGAATGGTTGAAACCGGGATGACGGTAGGTGATGTTGCCCGACAAGTGGATGTATCTCGCCGGACCCTTCATTACTGACTGGTTCTCGACCGCAGCGGTGCAGCACTGGAGAATTGCAAGGCCGTGGGAGAAAAACTGTGCTGAGCAGATTGGCCAAAATCGTGCTCGCTAAGGCCGTGCTGAAAAGACGCCAATCGACGCGGAAACTGGCCAAAAAGCTGACTGAGAAGGGTCAAGCGGTGTCGAAGACCACTGTTCACAACTACATGGCCAAGTGCCTGGGTCTCAAACCGCTCAATCTGCGCCGGCAGCCAAAACTGGCCGAAGCCCAGAAGCGGAAGCGTCTGGTATTTGCCCGGGAGCAGAAGAACTGGACCATTCAGGACTGGCGGCGCGTCTTGTTCAGCAATGAGTCTGTGTTCGAGCTCATGCACCCGCTGAATCGCCAGAACGAGCGCGTCCGGGCGCACGACAGTGCTGAAGTGCCTGCCATCGACACGGTGAAGCAGCCGCTGAAACTCATGGTCTGAGCCATGATGAGTCATTGGGGCCTGTCAGAGCTCCACATCTTCCCCCCGCGGTCAGACCGTGACGGCCCAGTACTACGTGAAGGACTTCTGAAGAAGTCTGCAGCGTCCGCGATAAGCGGAAGAGGCAGACGGGGGCGCCAACACAGGTCGAGCTGCTCCCGAAGATGTCCGAGGCGATCTTCCAGCAAGACGGTGCTTCAGCTCATCACGACGCCAGCACTCAACGGTGGTGCTGGGACAACCTCCCAGGGTTTTGGGACAAGGGTGTGTAACTGGGCAACAGCTCTGACCCGTCTCCCATCGAGAACTTGCGGCTATCGTGCAGAGCGAGCTCGACATGATGGAGCCGGCGATCACCGAGCAAGCGCTTATCAGAAACCTCCAGCGAGCGTGGCTCAGCATTAGTGCAGAGACACTGTATAACCTGATGTGTGGCATGCACGACCGTATGAGGGAGTGTGTGCGATTGGGTGGAGGGTATATCGGTAAATAAACCATGACCCATGCACGTTTTGTTTCCTTGTAAAGTGGACTAGAAGAGTGCGCAATCAATTTCCGGACACCCTGTACACAGTCCCAGCTCTACTGTGGCCAAACCATGACCTGCATTAAAGTGACCATCCCACCCTAAGCTGTCTTACCCAGCCTCCTAGTAGGTAGGTTTTAAGAATTCCTGACTTGTTCGAAATACAACTTATATCGAGGACACCATTCCTTACAAGACAAACCTCATTAAATTTCAGGACAGATCTGCCTGGCTAGCTCCGTTTGAATGCCGCCCGTGTGTAACGGCTAACTGCGTGGTTCGAATGCTCCACCCGTGCCGGCTGCGGCGCAGGTATGAGCTCGCCCTCTGAACTAATCCCGGAGCTGAACTATGCTCTGTATTAATTATGGCCAATCGGCGCCGGTCCCGGGCCCGCCCGGCGACGCTTCCGTGTACCTGCGTCAAGTTTGTGTCATAACAGGACTGCGCCGCGTCCGCCTGGCCGTCTGATTACCGAACTTTGCGCGGCCGCGGCAATCAGGGCCGCGCTGCCACTGTGGCCAGACCGAGCCGCGACTGCTCCGCGGGGCTCGTCACAGAACGATTAAATTTACAGACGGATCTGTGGGTCACCCCCTGTGACGGAAACTGAGAGGAATTTTACCGGTATGTCGCTGAGTAGCATTGCGGGGATACCGAATATGATGGGTATCAAGCAAAACTAAAATAGAACAGAAATGGGACGTAAAGGATGCTACTTATATAATGTAGGCAACCAGTAAGAAACAAAATGCCAAGGCAATGTTTGTCACATTACAGTGGCATTTATATCATGTCAACCAAGCAAGCCACACAAAGCGTGGCTATTTTACGAGCCCTTCTTACCGGCGATTTCTTTGGATTACAGAGTGGTTGATTGCCGAGGCATTTGATTCCGGTGCTCATTCTGGGGTAAGCATACGCAGTATTTGTAATAATCAATCATAAAACCCTTCATGCTGCCTCAACCTACACGAGCTTATGAAACACTTTACAGGCTATTTCGTCGATCGCCCAATCACAGTACTTATAGGTGAAAAGTTAACTTCCTTATAAAAAGGGGAACTGGTTGGTAGACTGGCATCGGACGTGGAAAAGGTGTCCGGTGTAGATAGATGGGAGGGGAGGTAGGCGTGTGCATACGCTAAATCGTTGGATTACTGAGTCAGCCATGTCTATGATGCGTTCCTTGTATAAAGCACTTTCGTATCCTTCGAATTAATGGTATTCGTTTTCACTTAAGCTATGCATGCAAACCATTTTTATTATGGCTAAACAATAAGGCCAGAGTTATCTTCAATTCTGTCACTTACTCAAAGTCTAACATTTTAGTTCGTGTTTTTTTACACATGTTGAGACGAGCCCGATGCCCGACCATTTGATGATATTTTCGGTGTTGCCGTTTTTGCAGTTCCGGTGACCGAGGTGTCCGCGCCGGTCGGCAGGTCGGCGCTGATACTGAGTGACAAAGCTGACAGTGAGCTGACGCGGTCCGGGCGTGGGCAGTCCCCAGCGGAGATCAGCGGGACGCCGCGCCGCCGACAGGTGACGGCGGACGGCCGCACGGGATCGGAGTCTCATCTCCCGACCGCGGGAGACGTGAACGGGGGCTGAGCGAGCTGGTATCAGCACAGTGCCCGGGCGGCCTGCCGACCATGACGCCGAGCGAACCCAGCCGTCTCCTACCGAACTCAGCCCGTCTGCTGCCGAACCCAGCCCGTCTTCTACCGAACTCAGCCCGTCTGCTGCCGAACTCAGCCCGTCTTCTACCGATCTCCACCGATCTCTACCACATCTACCGATCTCAGCCCGTCTACTGCCGAACTCAGCCCGTCTACTGCCGAACTCAGCCCGTCTACTGCCGAACCCAGCCCGTCTCCTACCGATCTCAGCCCGTCTCCAATGGATCTCAGCCCATCTACCGATCTCCACTGATCTCTACCGCATCTATCGATCTCTACCGATTGCTGATGATCTCTACTGATGTCAACCGACTCCGAATGGTTTATCGATTTCCTTTAGCCGACCCCGAGCGATCTCAAGTAGCACGCCATTCCGCAAACCGTCCAAACTCTGGAGTGATTAGCATCACCTGTGGTGCATCACTCCTTGCTTTTGTGATCGATTTATCGAGTCTCATGTGCACCAAAAGAGAATTTATTTTTGTGAAGAATGTTCAGTTGTTAATGCAAGATTATCAACGATAATCACAAAACGGGTCCTGTATGTTCCAGTGTCATTATGAAGAGTTGTACACTCAAGGTGGCATGTAACCTGTTTTAAATTGTCTTGTTGATAAATAAAGTGCTTATTATGTTTGTTTTGACTTTGGCACTGTTTAGTTTAGTTTAGTTTATTACATAAACACTCACGGGATATGGTGGGCCCATTGACGAGTGAAGTACACATTTCAGACAACAAGTTAAAATGGGTTAAAAATACACATAATAAGATACATACACTAAAATGGATCAGCAATGCATTCGACAATATGCCACGACCAGTTTCTTCCACTGCAGGGCGCTCAGGTGCCAAACGTCTGCCTCACGCTGCTCGTTAAGAAATGTGTTGCACGTTCGCGGAATGCGACAAAATAGTCCCTGCTTAACAGTGGTCACCCGCGCGTACGGTACATGGAACAGGTTGCGCTGGCGCAATGAGCGAGGTGGTATACATAGAGGCATGCTGTTTAGCAGGTAAGCCGAATCGATGTCCTGTCTGTGAATATTCCGGATAAACATCAGATCGTGCTGCTGCCGCCGTGCAGCCAGAGACATCAGATGAAAATGTTTCGAAAGGTTAGCAGAGTTAAGTTCCGCATCGGCAATACGACATCGACCACAAAGCCAAATAAGAAATTTCGTCTGTACCTACACGTTCGAGGCGATTTAGATGGGTGGCCGCAGCTCCTCCCCAGATAACGCTGCCGTATTCCAAGATAGGCCTTACATTGGCACAATACGTGCGGATGATAGCTCTGTAATCACAACGATACAGCGATCTGCCATGCTTTCCTGTTTGGAAGGACCTGATTAGGAGCCCTAATGCTCTATTAGCTTGGCGAACAACACGATCGATCTCGCTGCCAAACGTCAGTTTTTCATCCAAGATAACACCCAAATCGCGCATTTCACTGACTCTTTCAAGTGCTGCGCCTCCTATGGTATATGCAAATGTTACTGGGTGACGTCGCAGAGAAAGAGTCAAGATCTTACATTTAGCAGGATTCAGTGTTAGGCCCCACTTCCGTGACCAGTAACATAGCTCATCTAACTGCCTCTGCAAGAATTCACAGTCGGTATGAGACGTAACCCTGTGATAAAGTTTTACATCATCGGCGAACATGAGGCAATTTGTGTTGACAGAATTCGGCAAATCATTGATGTAACATGAAAATAACAGCGGCGAAAGGAGGCTTCCTTCCGGGGTTCCCGACGGCACCGACATCCACGTTGAACATTTCCCATTGACAACCACTCTCTGCTCCCTATCGGTAAAGTAAGACTTAAGCCAGAGAAACGCCCGGTCTGTCACTTTGAAAGAACATCGCAGCTTGTGTAACAGTAAGCTGTGGTTCACGCTTTGGAATGCGGCGCTGTAATCGGTATATATCACGTCAGTTTGCATCCCGTCAGAAATGTTGTCCCAAGCCTCGTGGAGCATAGTTGCTAAATTTGTCATACATGAGCGCCTCGGCATGACAGACTGAGAAACTCTCTGCTTCACGAGTAATGGGAATGGTTAGGTCGGAAATGACACATGGCAAAGTGTCGGCGAGGATGAGTACAACATGACGGTCATCTAATAAAATCGGTGGCTAAAATTTTTGAAGGACAAAACCATGCGAGACTAACAGCGCTTTGAACGACCCTTGTACCGCAGCAGACCCGTGCTCCGGAAAGCAGCTGAAAATGCAGTCCAAACTATTGAAAACTGACTAGAAGCTCACAGACAGAGGTTACCCAGTTTCAAAAATTGCAGGTCATCATAAAATAAAGACAAAATATCATTTAAAATTGTTTATAATATCTATAACGCTAAATTTTGAGGGAAAATAATGCGAAAATCGTCAATGCCGAGGACAAGTGACCCTCCAAAAGTGTCAATTAATGTAAAGTTTTATCTAACGAAGTTTCAAGAGGCAGATCTGGAGCAAATAGCTTTCTTTTACACACAAAATCCGGACAAAACCGCACGATGGACAGGTTTTGGCCGTTTACAAAGCAGAACCTCTCCTGAGGAAAACACTCCGGAACCCAGCGAAGGTCTTGGCATTGGGAATGACGAGCGTTCGGGATTTGCAAATTTTGCAAAATGTGTCTAAGAAACAGATGGCCGACACATTCTGCTACGATATGCTGCGAAAAATTTGCCCCTGGCACTTCCCATTTGTTCAGGAATGGGGTTGTTTTGAAAAGGAAAATGGTGCTTGGGAGGTCGGCGCCAGTCATTCATGAAGGAGTTAGCGCCAGAGAAGACCTACAAAATACTCACGGATGGTGTCGATGCAAGCTATCGGCTTTCAGGGAGAAGCGGATGTTGCCGGGGAGCTCGTCAAACCTAAATCCGACGCAGAAACTGCGGGGGATTCCCCTACAAGAGCTAGAAAGCTGGTAACCTTTTATCAGCCTCCGGCAGCTGACGGAGTGACGAAAATCGGTATGGGCAAATATTTTTGGAGATACAGCAAAGGATTTGGTTTCCAACCTTCCGAATCAGTTGTCAAAGCATGCATATTTGTCTAGTGTGCACACGGACACCAAAACCTTAGATTTTTGGCCGGTTCTTATATGCTTTATTGACATGGGAAATAATTAAACGAACTTTTGAGACACCCTGTACATGAGGATTTATATTAATGTGCCTACATGTACTGGAATCGTCTGCGGCTTTCAGGTGATCCTGTAAATGTAATATTCCAGTCATTTATCATGCCAAGTTTTTCCAAAAGTAATTACCCGGCCGACCGTGGAGGGGTGGCAGCGTCACTGCGACAGCTGCCGGGGGTGCTGCAGGCGCGATGGTCGACATGGCGGTCACTGGAGCGAGAAAATGAGCCGTACAGCACGCAGCAAATGATAATTACTGTCGCTGGTGACGACTGCATGTCGATATCGTTAGTATCGGCCGAGTTTTGATTGGAGAATAGAGATGCTCTCCTGGCTGATGAGAGTCCCAACATACTAGTATATGAGTTGCTAACATTCCTCTTACCGTAGTGACACGTCAAAGTGGTCAAAGGTTCCTACTAAATAATTCTGAAAATCAAATCTGCATGAAGTTTCATTGACTTAATTCCATACGATAGCGCACTCGTATGCATAAACATCCGATTTCCTATTGTATCAGTGTCGTGTTTTGAGCGATCTGGCACCCCCGGACGAATAGCGCAGCCCGAGGCGCCAGCTCCTATCGGCCCCGTGGATGGGCGGACGTGCCACCAATACCGATCATCATGGAAATCAAATATGACCGCCGCCTGGCACGGCAATTCCATCACCATCCATTTGCGACCACCTGCTGCGCCCCTGCGTCTGCCTATCTGGGTGGGATTGCTTCGGCCATTCCGATTCCTCCCGCTGTCATTGGATTAATCAAAAATGGCCATTCCGTGTTTTGTGCCGTTCTTGGCACGGGCCTGTCACCGAAAATGAGCGTGTGACGCATGTCGCTTTCCCAGGAATCGTCATTTTCTATTACACTGATACGATACATCGCAGAGTCACGCTCCTGTTTTGGAAGTGAGCCTGTGCTCCCCAGGCTAGCCATCTCATCAATCAAACGCACAGCCATGAGCCAATCACGATATCTATTTGCCGCGGAATGTGGCTAATTATTGTCTGATAACGGTACATAGTTTCCCAGTCCTGTGGAGTAGTGTGCTCGACACCCACGGTCGACCGAAGTGCGCTACCGTCCGACCAGGGCAGTCCCACCACTGGAGTGATGCGCCCGCTTGGAGTTGGGCCGCGTGACCCATGGGTGTTATGGCTCCACATAATCAGCCATCGATTTCTCTCGGCTGGCGGACCAAATGAGCTGGGGGCCGCTGTGGACACGGCCGGTGTCCTGTCAGCACTCGGACCGAGCGCCGCCAGACAGCCTAGCGTTATCGCCGGCCCGCACGGTGAATTCAGCTATCCCGGGCGCTGTGAACTGGGGCCTGACCTCTGGGGCAGGGCATTATCATCCACCATTGTAGCTGCAGATGTCTGAGGGAAGTGTTTCACGATACAGTTGTTCCTGTGTCAGCAGCGGCGGCTCCACAGGAACGAACAGACAGTTTTTTCCGAAAATGCAGGGCATGTTGAAGTAAGCTAAAAGGCTCAAGTCAGCATTGGTGATTTTTTCCGTATGAAATAGAAGTCTTCTTTAGTGCTTTCTGATCAATTATCACTCTCCAAAGGCTTGGCGAATATCTCCCCTTCCCTCTGTTGGCTTCGCCGAAAGAATATCTGCTGAGAAATTCGACATGTACAAAGAGTGGCTGTAAATTTTCATCGTCGCTCACATTTACGTAACACATACTAAGCCTTAGACATAAAGCATTTTATTAGCATTGGGCACCTGAAGGCTGAATCATTAGTCTCATGTTATTAAAACCCAACTGCAATTGCGCTAACTCACGGTGTTATTAATCATTATTGATTAGAATCGAGCTTAATTGCATTTCAGAGCATTTCCGAACGCTTCCGTATTCCGCATTCCAAAAGCTTTTCATTAATTTTTAAAACAGGGCTTGGCTAGTCGCTGCAATAAACCCTGGAAGTTCGTTTCTGGACGACGACGATCACTCACTGCTATTCGCCCCAGTTGTTGGCTGGGAAACTGGCTGCATTATTGCATCGTTAGCAATTTCGTCTGACGTATCGAATACCGCCGCCGTCAGTAGGGAGACCAAACGTCAAGCTCGGATAACTTCGGGATGGATAGACCGGTACAGAAGTAAATAGAGCGATCGTCAAACGAACAAATCGGAAACGGCTGAGATGTGTGGATGGACTCAGCGCACAGATCATGGACATGTCTCAATCGTCAGTCGATTCGGTCGTGAGCGTTGCGTCTGTGGCCCGCGGCGGGCGCCCCCCGAGCGGCGGGCTGCGCTCCGCCGCCGCGTCCGACGCGTCGGCTCCGTCGCGCCGGCGGCGGCAGACGACGGGGGACGGCGGCGCGCCGCGGTCACCGCTGCCGACGGCCGCCCGAGCTGCGTGCCGCGCGGCCGGGGCCCGACCTGGGACAGTGCGGACAGACGTCCGGGAACAGTGCTGGGTGCTGAGGGACGGCCGCCGCCATCGCTCGGGCAGGCATCAGAGGAGGC